GAGGAATCCTGCCACATATAAATAGGGGATCGGGACTTCAGAGAGATTATTCTCCCTCTCCTGGGGATGAACTTAGGGCTAGAAAATACGAAAGAAATTCCCATCTCCTCCATTCTTCTACTTCATCATTTTTCTCCTTCTCTCCATCATTCTTCTCCATTTTTCTTCTTCTTTTTCGTAGATTGAGCTTGTAATTCAAATTCAACACTTGGAATTGCGATTTATTGTAAGTTCTTCTCTTTATCTTTAATTCATGAATTATGGTTGAATTCAAAGAGATGATTGATTTTGTTGAATTGATTTTACGCAGCTAATTCTTATTGCTAGGGATAGGGGATGATTATTATTGTTTAATTTGTATCTCTCGGGCTTGAATTGTTCATTCTTGTGTGGGTTAATTTGATTAGGAATTGATTAAATTGTGCTTGATTGTTTGATGTAATCGAAGGGTGACACTTCGATCTTGCAATTGGTAACAATTGGATATTGAGTTGTCGAGTTTGGTTTTATTGATTCCAATGATTAGTTGATTAATACCCTTCTAATTGAATTAGCGACTTGTAGAACCGAAAGGGGAGAAGTCGTAGACCTAGGCTCACATGAGGTAGACCATTTCGTAATTGACTAATCTACTTGTTTTAGATTGAAATACGCACTTGTCGATGACCCGTCCCTTGTTACGAAAAGTTATTGGGATTAGGATAATTGTCTTGTGTTGTATGCTCGAACTTGTTCGTCTATGTTCAATCCCTTGTTACGAAGAGTTATTGGGAGCGAACCGCTAGATGTTTAAGCGAGAGTGTCAATCTCGAACCGAACAATGAATTTCCCGGTCTTGCTAGAACTTGAATTAATTATCCCCGACTCCCTAGTTTCTCCATCTTTATTTCGTTTATATTTTTAGGTAGATTGTTGCTCTATTTTATTTCTTAGTTAATAAATATTCAATCCTTTCTTTGATTAGTATGTTTAGGATTTATTTTGCTTTTATGTGCTATCAATACCAAAGTTGAATTCCGAACCGCCTTTCTCGTGAGATCGACCCGGGGAACGATCTTCCAATTCATTACTCGGTAAAAATAATAATAATTTGTACCCAACAAATTTGGCGCCGTTGCCAGGGAAGGCAAGTAGGATATTTGGTTTTGATATTGATTTTATTTTCCGTGTTTCTCTTATTTTTGTGATTTTCGTATTTTTGTTCTCTTTTGTGCATATTAGTTTTTCTTTTTGTCTTGCTTGTTTCTGTTTTCTTTTTCTTTTTCTCTTCGTGGCTACGTTTGGGTTGTTCTGCTTTGGTGTG